ACCATCCAGACAGAAAGCCAATATTTTTACTGTTGCCTTTGTTACATTTGTGTTGTTATTTATTGTGTTATTTATTTATCAACTCAAATACAACATATATATGAGTATGTATGTATGTATGTATGTGTATGTATATGTACATACATACGTACATGAGGGTTCCACCACAAAACCGCGGTAGACTAAAGCGCGTGTGACTAAAGCGCGGGGACAAAACCGCACCGTCAAAACCGTGCGACAACAGCGTGACAACAGCGCGCCAACAACAGCGCCCCGATAGAAGCGCGCTGTAACATAACCGTAAAAATAACCCTAAACCTAACCCTAAACCTAACGCTAAACCTACCCTAAACCTACCCTAAACCTAATCCTAAACCTTACCTTAAGTTAAATCGCGCTTCTGTCGGCGCGCTGTTGTGGGCGCGCTGTTGTGGGCGCGCTTTAGTCTACCGCGGTTATGTTGTGCCACGGTACATGAGGGCTAATAACATAACAAATAACAAAAATACAAGCCAGGAAAGGTACTGATGAAAGCGCAACAGTTAAAAGTGTTTGTTAAAAGCAAACATTTAATGTAACAAAGCAACCATTCAGAACAGAATAAGCAAATACTTGCTGAAACAGTTTATCCAGCTGCAAGCAATGCCTATTTTCAATCTGGGAGGATGATTTGCATCACTTTTGTCTTTATGTGTGTTTTGTTTGAAATTCCCCATTTGCTATGGTCACTAGGATATTTTTTTTTGTCATAATAACCACTAGATGGTGCAAATATACTACTGTAAGGTCTTTGTTACTGTAAAATGCACCTAGTTTATCTTTTGTAAGATAAATCACCATGTTTAAAGCTTCAGTTCCATGATGTATTAGTTTTTAAGACACCAGAATTATATTTGTATCAAAGTTGGTAGATACTATGTATGAAATCAAACCACTTGGTATATCCCCACAAAGCCCAAATGTTTATTTTATATAATTTTCACTCTTCTTCAAATTTCCAGTAGCTTCTCTCCTGATGTTCTATAAACCAGAAACACAAAGACTGGATAAAATTCATAGAGACTATTATTAATTTGCAGAAAAAAATCTAAAAAGTATCCACATTTTTATTTAAAAAACATTTTCCTGAGACATGGACAGGTGTCAAATAATGTCATCAAAGAAACAGTATCAGTTATTTAAGAAGAGAAATGGAAGAAAGAAAAATTGATACAGTATGCTTGAGGGGCAACTCACTGAACTGTAATGCAGTGCCTGCCAAATTTGTCATTAAAGTTCCTGCTTTATTTGTGCATCTCTCAATGCTGAACAGTAATGTGGTAAAAGCAACAGATCCCCTTCCTGCTATTCCATGCTCTAAAACAATAATTTATGAAACTATGCCATGGAGGGAGTTCCTTTTTTAAAAAAAATGTCAGTTCCACCAATCAAAACTAAGCATAACCTTGAAAATAAGGCAAATTAGCTGATCATATTTGATCACCGTCCAACTGTATATACAGGCATTTCCTGATTGTCAATTAGACTACAATTTCCAAAGCTGCAACTATTTCCTGATATCCATACACAATAGTGCCTCTGAAATGTTAGAAGTCTGGCTGTCTCATTGTACTTATTAGCAATAGAAAATAATGCAGATTCAAATTTCCAACATTACTGATTTGGAAAAATCAGTTCAGGGTCAGGACTATGATAAAACAGGAAGTGATTTCCTATCTGATTGGCATGTATTTATTAAGACAAGACATTGTTCTCGGCTTCCAATAACAAATTACCTACCTGTTCAATACATAGCTTCCCCCAAATGCCTTAGGTCCATCTTTTAAAACCTTTTTTTTTCAGTCAAACTATATTTCTCAACCTTGGCAACTTGTGGACTTCAAATCCCAGGATTCCTCAGCATGCAGGATATAAGGTGTTGGGAAGGAGGGACAAAGCTTTGATTGTGCTACACATGACACCTAAAAGGGACGCGGTGGCTCCGTGGCTAAGACACTGAGCTTGTCAATCAGAAAGGTCAGCGTTTCGAATCCCTAGTGCCGCGTAGCGGAGTGCGCTCCCACTACTTGTCCCAGCTTCTACTAACCAAGCAGTTCGAAAGTACATAAAAATGCAAGTTGAAAACTAGCAATCACCTTTGGTGGGAAAGTAACAGCGTTCCATGCAGCTTCGGCGCCTAGTCACACTGGCCACATGACCACAGAGACGTCTTTGGACAGCGCTGGCTCTTCGGCTTTGAAATGGAGATGAGCAATGCCCCCTAGAGTTGGGAACAACTAGCACATGTGTGAGGGGGAACCTTTACCATGACACCTATCTTGTTTGCTTTTTAAGTTCTCCTCTAAAAACATCTGGCTAGATATCACAATAGTTAAAATGTTTGAGATGAATATATTTTTAATTAATGCTATATTAGTATTAAAATATCTTTTGAAATCATTTATAACAAATCCACTGAGTGGATTGTGATTTATACAGTAGTGGTAAAAGCATTTCTTTACCGGAATACTGGGAGTTGAAGCCTACCTTGGCAAGGCTGCGAAACTTTTAAATTTTCAAAAGTGCAGCTAGTACATCTCTGTCCTTATCAGTTAATTTTAAGGGCAAGGTCAGAAGGAAGGATAAAATAGGGAACTTTTAAACCATATTCCAATACACAATAAGTCAAACACTAATTGAACTTCCCTGTAAAAGACAACTTGTTATGCTTCCAGAGGTTAAACACCTCAGTCAAGAAAAATTGGGAAGGACATTCTTCCTACTGAAATACCCGGGTGACCATACGTGGTTAACCCACTCTCATGCCCTCCAGATGTGAAGATTACAACTTTTATTTAACTCAAACAATATGTCCATTAATTCTACGGACTGGAATAATGAGTTGGGGCTGAAGGATGCTCTAGACCAGGGGTGTCAAACTCAAGGCCCAGGGCCCGGATCCAGCCCACGGGATACTTAGATACTTACAGCTGCCCTGGGAACAGCAAAGGAACAGCCCATGGTGCTTCTGCCAGCAAAAACAGGCTCCTGACCTGTTTTTGGCTGCCACAGCCTCCTGCAGCCCTCCGACAGCGAAAACAGAGCTTGGGAGTCCGTTTTCACTGGCAGAGCACATGGGCCACCACAGGCACCCGACAGAGTGATGTCGAGCTGGCCATGCCTACCCTGGCCACACTCACCACAGTCCCCCAATGTCAAACACAACCCTAATGCGTCCCTCAATGAAATCGAGTTTGACACCTCTGCTCTAGACAAGCATTTATTTTTAGCACCAATGTCCTCCTCAGTAGCACTAGACTAGTTAAAGAATGAGTTCATACAACATACTAAGTTAAAAGTAAGTGAGCTGTTTATAGCTCAGTTATTTAATTTAGCAAACCAATGTTGACTATCCTGTGTTTGAGGAAATGGTATGATATGGAATTTGCATTATAATTGACCTTTCAGTTAAAAGTACTTTCCCTTTGAGTTCTAAAAGAGATAATCTACCGTAGTTATTTTGCTTCTGCTAAATCTATTAAAACCTAATGTTATTTGCTGGACTGTGTTTCTGCATATTACACAAATCCAGAAATCCAGATTTCTACAATCGCCTATTTCAACAAGTGACTCTGGGCAGCATACATCAAACATAAATTTGTATTACTACCATAAATCACAAGGGAGTGTGTTGTGTGAACAAAACCACAATTATCCTTTTTTTTGTATATTGTGTATTTGTCTCCATTCCTTCCAATCACTGCTGGTCTAACTAAATACGAATCTACCACTCCTATAGAAGGTAATAATACATTCTATATTAATAAGAAGAAAGCAAGTTATTAAGGCCATTTTAAATGTTTTATTATTTAAAACTATTTCTGAAGATAACTACTAGGAAAGAGCTTCGTTGCACACAGCAAAAGCCAAGGACAACCGGATGTTGTCTTTATGGTTCCCACCATAAAGAGCTGCAGTTTCAGCAACAGCTGTAATCTGCATTCGCCATCACCCTCTCTAGATTTATTCTCAAAACTATCTAATTCTAAAGGATCACTTGTCCACTTTTTACCCTTTGCGCTTTGGACGGGTGTTTTTGGGGGGGGAAGGGGGCATAAGTTCATATTTAAACCCAATAGGGAAACCTAAAAAGTTGCAGCGCTGTTAGCAAAGGCCGTTAGTTAGCACGGAAGAAAAACATCCTGGGGCGCCAAAGGACGGCACGGTTGTCTGTATGTGGAGGGGGGGGGGATGTTCGGCTGCTACGGTGGGTTTTGTGTTGAAAACAAGATTGGCCGATCCCTCCAGTTACTGCCAAATTTAAGCAGCCAGAATCGTTCTCCTTTCCCCTGGTCGCTCAGGGCCATCCGTTGCTTCACGCGCAATGGGGCTCGTCCCTTTCCTCTCCCGACAGAGCGAACTCCTCCCCGGCTTCCCCCAGCGAGGCCAGCCGTCAGAGGTGCCAGCCACGGACGCCGGACTCCCCTCCACACAATCTCCGTGGCACCCACGCTCTCTTCTGCTCCCGATGCAAAAGCTGGGCGTTGCGGTAGCTGGATTTATCTGCTCGAAAATGGCTGGACTTGCCCTAACTTCGCAAGTCAGCTGGCTACCAGGATCGCTCGCGAAGAAGAGTGCGGGGTCTTCCCGATGCGTGACCCCCCATTTCCTGTACCTACTTTATTCCCCCCCCCCCAAACACGCTCCCATCCACACCCGCCTCCAAGGGCTTCACTGCGAACACCTTTCCAGCCCAATTCGACTGCAAGCCACTTCTATTGGTCACTTCAAACCTTTCCCCCAGATTGTCATTTGCAACCCGCTACGTCGATCAACATGTTTTTCTTACCCCCCCCCTCCTCCCTCCGACTCCTCCCGCTTGCCTCTTTCTCTCTCTTCCTCCCCTCCCCGTTTCCAACCTAAGAGAAAAGCGCGCGTCCTTCCTACAGGTAGTAACTCCGGCGCTCGGCACGTCCTGTCGCCCTGTATAAGGATTGGGGGGCTCGAGCGCGCGAACGCGAACCGTGGCGCCCCTTCACTTCTCGCTTTCGACCTTCCGCGAGAAACCGAACAAAACTTGCCAAAGCTGCCGGTTATAAAGCTCGCTTTTATTCTCCTCAAAGAAGTACAAACTCTTGGGTGGCGACGGCGGCAGCAACAGCAGGGGGGAAAAACATACTCGCGACGATCAGAAGCCACAAAAGCTGTTGCAAGCAGTTCTGTCCCGTTGCTACTATCCGCTGACCGGCTACTCGGCCGCCCCTTGCCTTCCCCCTCGGCAGGTTGTGAACGGGCGGCTGCTTCCCCTCCCCCCCCGCGAAAGTGGGGAAGGAGGGGAGGGAGTTGATCGCGCGTCCCTCCCCACTCTCGCCTAGGGGGAGGGGAAAGGAGATGAACCTCGCATTGTTCCCCTAAGCAAGCGACTGCTTTCTGGGCCATGGGCTCCGCGCCTTTGTTCCCAGGCTGAGCCCTTTCCCAGCCGCCGCCGCCTGCTCTCGGATCCAAAAGCAAACGCGGAGCTTTTCCTTCTGAGGCAAGATGGATGTGACTGTTTCTGAGCTCCTGGAACTCTTCCTCCAGAGCCCTTTGGTGACCTGGGTGAGTTTGCAAAGTGGCCTGGCGTTGCAGAACCGTTTTCTGGGCAACGAAGGGCGGACTGAGCGCTCGGCTGGGGTGAGGGAGAGGGAAAAAGTTTGGGATGAGAGGAAAGCGCCTTTCCTCGTGGCGCACCGGGCCGGCCACCTGAGAAAGCGCGCTGTCTGGCCAGCAAGGGGGGAGGCAGTGAATTGGGAGCGGCAAGCATCAAAAGTCGGGCTGTGCCTTGATCGGTGAGACTTTTCTCTGGCCTTCCGAGGGGCAGCAAATTAATTGGACGTGCTGGCGAAACTGTTATTTCAGCGGAAATAAATGAGAAAGGGTGGTTTCTCCGGACCGTAAGTTATTGCCAATGCAATAACTTATTGGCAATGTTGACTAACCGGATCAAAAGCCAGACCGAGGGCAGAGAGCAAAAAACCCGTATTGTTGGAAGTTCCGCCTTTTGGTTCTGAAAGAAAGTAGTTTATGTTTTCTTGTCGATATGGCAGCAAGGTGTCAGGGATTAAAAGGGGGAGCTCTCCCCCCCTTTTTAATTAGATAGGTTTCTCCGTTGTAAAATACATGGTTCTATCACACGTTGTAAAGAAAAATATTTTAATTAATGTACAAATCTTGTGTAAATCATTAACGACTTTGGATTAGTCATTATGTACATTGCACTTGAACACTTTTTGTAAGACTGTATTTGACTGTAACTTCCTTTATGCTGCCTTCTGTGCTGTACTCCTTTACATTAGAATCGTGGGTGTGCATGCATGCCTCATTGTTGTACATATGATTTTTATATGGTGTGTGCTGGCCACTTTGTAGAAGTTTTACTTGTACAGGTATATTGCTGCATTCCATTTAGACATATATCCAATTGGTTTTCTGGTCTAGGGATAGAATTTTACTTGATTAATCAGTCTCCTTTATGTTAGAAGGAAGTGGGTCCACTTAGGAGGAAATGTTTCTGAGATTGGTACTAGGAACCAATGCCTTTTAAGGATACCATAGATTTTATAAAATAAATTATTGAAATCATCGGAGCAGATGGAAGGATGGTGATTTGTGGATAGGCTTTTAATTTACAGGTGTTTATACAAAACGTGCACATTTGCAGGGAAACATAAAACCCCTGCAAATATGCTACCTCTGATGCCAGGCTTAGCCATGTATTATCTCTTCCTTTGATTTCAGCAAAATTTAAAAGTGTCTTTACCAAACCAGCATTTGGGAAAAAAGGAAAAGCAAACCAATCTGACATGACCAAATATTTTTCCTCTGCTTTTTGTAGTCAAACACTAAATTGACCCTGATTTTATTACATGGTGCAGAAATAATAAGAGAGTAGTGAAATTCCCTTAAATAGTCCTAATAAAAATGTACACAATACTCAATGAACTAGCTAGTGCATTTCTTCTGGTTGTAGTTCTTGTTTGCAGGAAATTCTTACTCCAAAATTCAGTAATATACCTGCAGTTTGACTTCTTGTTCCATGTTGTGACATGTATAGATCAGGACTCTAAAGAATCCGATATGGAAACTCTTAATAATGTAGCAGGAGCAAGATAAGTGCTGTGTTACAAGGCTACATTGGAAGAAACCAAACATGTTTATATTTTAGCAGAATTGTTCTGCTTATAAGTGGCTAACAAAAATTTCATGATAAACAGATTATTTTTAAGGAGCAGTGGAATAAATTTAACAAAGATCTTGGAAGAAAACTAAATCTGGATGAGATGAATTTTGAATGGATTTATAGCAGAGATAGGGAGCCAGTTTGGTATAGTGGTTAAAGCATCAGGCTGTGGGAGACTGTGAAGTCTAGTTCCACCTTAGGAACAAAGCCACTAGAGCAATCACCTAGAGCCGGGATGGTGAACCTATGGCACGCATGCCACAGTTGGCACGCGGATCCATTTGTCAGGGCACGCGAGGCGCTGCACTGTCAGCTGGCCAGCGCGCATGCACGTGCTGGCCAGCTGAGTTCACCCTTTTTTAAAGCCATTTTTCGCCCTCCCCAGGCTCCAGAGGCTTTATAGGAGCCTGGGGAGGGCAAAAAGAGCCTCCCCGCCTCCCCAGGAGGCCTTCCGGAGGCTTCATGAGCTTCAGGAACGGACTTCTGGTTCGGGAACGGACTTCCGGTTTGCTCAGAGGGTTGTTTTAAGCGCTCCAAAGGCTTCAGGGACCTGAAGTCAAAAATGACCCTCCGAGCAAACTGGAAGTGACTTCTGGTTTATTCGGAGGGTTGTTTTGACTGCTCCTGAAGCCTCTGGAGGGCCTCCGGGGGGCAGGGGAAGCTGTTTTCGCCCTCCCCAGGCTCCTATAAAGCCTCTGGAGGCTGGGGAGAACGAAAAAAGCATGCAAAAAATGGGGGGTCACACCTGTAGTGCGCACATGTGCACTGGGGGGGTCACACATTGCATTATGCGTGTGGCACTCCCGCACATGACTCCCCTGCGCTCCCCCCCTTATGGCACGCAAGCCAAAAAAGGTTCGCCATCGCTGACCTAGAGCAATCACTTTATTATTATTATTATTCTCTCAGCCATAGGAATGGCAAACTACTTCTGAAAACCCTTGCCAAGAAAACTGTGGGGATATGTTCAGACAGTCTCTGAGAATCAGACATAATTGAACTGAAGGTAAAAAAAAAATAGCAGAGATAATCATGGATATTTCTTTTTCTGTAAAAGAAATAGGAGTTTTTTATGTACCTTCACCTTATCACTACTACTATGGCTGCAGATATCATGGGCAAAATAGCAAGGAGAGTACACATTTCCGCTAAATGGGATTCCTGTTCTAATATAGAAGGAGATGTGGATTCTTCCAATCACTCTTAATAGTTGGAGAATGGATCCCTTCCAGCCCAACAGAACCAAGTTTTTTGCCACAAAAAAGAGTACGATAACCATTTTCATGATTAGTTTATAACAATTCAAATGAATATAAACACGCAGTTTCCAAAACAAAATTAGCATGCTTCATCTTCTGAAAGCATTTTCTAAAATGTTTTATTTTATGTTTTCTGGCAGGTAAAAACGTTTGGACTACTAGGGAATGATAATGAAGACAAACTTGCACTGTATATGAATCTAGCAGATGGAGTCTTCCTGAATAAAATAATGTTGCAAATGTAAGTTAACCCAAAAGAGCAAATGGCTTTAATTTTTATAAAATATATCTGTATTGGAAATCACTGAGACTGAACAAATATCCTGTTTCCGTGCTAGATAGATAGTGTAGTGTTTTCCCCCCTTTGGAAAATTTAATAAAGAATCAGTCCGAGCTTATGTTTGATTCTGGAACACTTTTTTGTTTTATGTTATATATTTAGTAAATTTAAAAAAGAACAGCACAGAAATGATAATCTGTCATATTGTGCCAATTATTAAGCAAAAGGCAGTTCTTGTTCCATAACACTAGAGCACATCCTGACATACACGTGGTCTCTTATGAAAATCTTGATACCTCCAGTTAAAGATTTTTAGAAAATGGGCAGAGAAAAGTTTCCAACTGAGAGCTTGAAGAACAGTTGACACTTAACCTTGAACAGTTTTATTCCAAACTACCTTCCAGAAGAGCCGCTCCTGTTATTTTTGATTTGCTAATTGGGCTTATAGAAAATAGAAACTGAAACTTTTGAAGGTAGTTAGTTGTAATAAAAACTGGTGCAGGTCATAAATAGTATGCCTGATGGTCATAAAACTAAGGTATAATTTAGAAGTTGGGAGTGGAGTCATACGGCTTTTGAAAATAACTCTTTAATATTTTAAATGGAGGACACCCCCCCCAATGATATTTACTTTTCCCAACCCATGTATGTTAGAAATTGAGTACATAAAGCAGATTAGGACTTCTGTCTGTCTCCCAGGATAACTCTGAAAATTGAGCAGAAAAGGACAAAATTTGGAGTAGGAGAGAAAACAGCAAAAAAAAAAATCAGGTTCAAAAATGTGTTGGATCCAGATGGCAGCTGCAGCGCATCGCTACCATTGAAGCAGCAGAGTGCCTGCTGAGAATAGCCCCTCTACTTCCTCCTTCCTGATCACATAACCTAGACGGGGGCTGTCCTTAAGGGATCATAAAGATTTTCATATGCCATGCCCGCTATTTGACAAGTATATTTCATAGCTATGTAAGAAGTGTCTTAAACGTGTCTTTTAAAGAGTCATGTTATTTATCAGCTCTTCCAAGCATGGAATTATCACAGATCAAAAATTGACATAAAATGGTAATGGATAAGAAACTGTAATGCCCAGGGGAACTTTTAATTTGTGCATAAGTCTTTTTTTTTTTTTGCTCCGTTAAGCCCTACTTTGACCACATCTCTTCCTGTTGCAGAGTTTATGGCGGGATGAGAAAAAAAACCTCTTCCATTTCAGTTTCATGCTTGAGTTGAAACAGGCACTTTTCAAAGACTTTCTTAAGTCATATAGTTTTCTCAAGCCTGAGGTTTTCTTTAAAGATGTCCTTATTCTGTTCTTATTGCACGACATGGCCCACCCATCTGAAAAGTTCATTGATTTCCAGAAATGAACATTTTGCCCAGATGTGATGTGTGTTTAAAACTGGGACTGTTGGAGGAGCTCAACAAAGCTGGTTTTCTTCTTCCGTTACAGAAGGGATTTTAAAAACAAAACAAAACCAGTATTGGCAGCATGCCCGGTTGTGCCTCAAGATCAATGAAACTAAAACCTTTATCCAATA